CATACATACAGACAGACATACATACATACATACATACATACACACATCCATACATACATACATACATACATACATACATACATACATACATACATACATACATACATATATATATATATATTATATCTTGCCAATGTTCCATGCAGCCCGGTCCTGGCCTCGATGTTGCATCTCTCGTAGGTCTGACCATCTGAGGTGACCACAGGCTCCTTATGAGCTTGTAGGGCTTACAGGGCTTTAAAAAAAGGGGTAACAAAATGAAGCTAGCAGGGTTTATATTTACAGGGTTTAACATTGAGGGGTAACAAAATGAAGCTTGCAGCTAGTTGTTACGGCAAAATTTCTGCCGAGTCTCCCGCATGACCTCTTGGCTGATGGGGCAGCGGAAGGAGGGCAGGACCATGGCCTGTCAGCAGACATTGCTTGCGGCGGATCCGAGCTGGTGCAATCGCTGCCTCCGGGTGGTAGCCATGATCAATAGAACTCCCATCCAAGGCAGATTCCTCTCGTTCCTGCCTGGATGTCTTCCGCGCTTTCAAGCTGCCAGGCATAGTACTGCCTAGCACGTAGGTCTCAGCTGGACCAAGGAAAGTCCTTGCACATGCCTGCATAGTAATTACGTGCAATTAAGATCGCAGGAGCATGTGCCTCGCGAAGAGACAGCGGTAGAGCAGCCACACATTTCCTCGGCGTTGCTGCTGGCACTCTCAATACAGTGACACGAGACAAGTGCATGCCTGGAACGACGCGCTGCAACACCTGCTGCTACATCTCACGACAGATAGCTTCGGGAAAATGCGGAGAAGAATCCGGCTGCCAAAGATCCACAGGCGGCGAGCTCCAAGACCATTGCGCCATGCTCAGGTGTTTTGGCCGCCGACTACCGTCTTAAGCAAATATTTCGTGCTGTGGTTGCAATGAAGGGTGCCCGGCCCCATGCCAATATGCTTGCTATGTCAATCCTGTCGGGAAGAGATGCCCAAAAAGTCCTTCAGAGGAATGGAGCACAGGATTCAGCAGAGCGTAGCTGACAGTAGTAGGACTGGGGTTTTACTCCTGCTTCCGGAACTCTGGGGTGTTGTTTCGGGCATCTTGAACTATCGTAGAAAGAGCCTCTGACATCTGGCGGCTTAGGGTTCTAGCGTTCAAGAGACTCCTTCCCGGACTCCTTCCCACTTCGAAACATGAAGGGTATAATTTAAGCCAGCGGAGTGAAGTTGAAGGAACTACGCTCGAAAGCAGGCTCCAGGAGATAAGCCCGACGCACTCATCATTGTGCCAACACTGTGCAATCATTATTCTTAATTACCAGCGGCTTGGTATGCACACTGCGCATCTTCGGGTTCTTTTCGTGAGTTATATCGCACCGTGGCAGTCCCCAACAAACACGAATAGCAATGCCGCTGAAGCAGAAGAGATGTGGCAAGTGTTGGCGGGAGGGGTCTTCCACACAGGGCCCACTTTCTTTCGAAACCACCTCGAATCGCCGAGACCTCGACTGGCGCCGTATTCTTCGTATGTGCTGTCTCTCCGATGCCTGTTGAGAGTTGCCAGTTCTCGCATGTTCTTGCCCGAACCTGACTGTATAGGCCTTATTGTGCACACACCCTTCACATTAAGCCCTAAAACTTAAACTCCATAATTAATGCACCTTCCAGTCCAAGCACTCGGTACTTGTGATATTGTGAGTTCTGAACCCGAAGCCATGAGCCGCCAAGGAACTGCTTTGTCTCCGCCTGTCGGCTGAGTTTGTCGCTGTGACACGGCCCACCTCCCGGGCCAGCACCCGGGAGTTCGACCAGCGCGGTAACCGGTAAGCAGCCCACGTCGACACGCACCCAAAGCAAGTATTTTCAAACATAGAATAACATATATATATATATATGTATATACATACATACAGAGACATACGGAGATGCGCACACATATAGAGGTATTCATGTCAATGTGCAAATGTATGTACATACGTACGTAAGTATGTACGTACGCATGTATGCATGCATGCATGCATTTGCATATACACATACATGATACATAAACGCATACACATACACGGACACATGTATGCAGGTACTAGGGTGTGTGAGATGCTTCGGCAATGAACAGTACAAGGGCAAACTAAGAAGAAGCAAGCAATCGTATCTACATACCATGCACGACGTAATTACATACCTCCCTGCCTGCCTACCTGCCTATATACCTGCCTGCCTACATCCATCCATGCATACATGCACACATGCCGGCCTGCCTACATACATTCAGGCAGACACATGATAGCAACTTCTGTCTGAATAAGTACACATACAGGTGTCCATACGTATGCATGGGTATGTTTATACACATATACATATATATATATATATATGTATATATGAGCCCAGCACCTTTCGGGTCTATTGAACTAGTTGTAACGAAGTGCAATATCAAACTCTTATTTAGATAGTATAAGTAGTGCTCATTGCGTCTACTACTTGTACCTTACCTCTTATGCCTATGGCACTGCTACTGTGTATCCTATCAAACACAGATTATACTTATATGACATCCTAATCCCTGCTACTGAGAACCCTAGTATACACAGCTTATGAACCATAAACCACAACTAATCATTATAAGTATCGTCCAAATCCCTGCTAGTGGGAATCTTATTGAATACAGACTTTAACATATAAAACACAACTAACCATGTTCAGTATTCTCTATAGACCCACCGTTTTAGTTTTCGACTTGCCATGCCAAACTCCAAAAAACGACCTACAACCTAAACTTGGAGCCCATGAGAACGAGGACAATCGTGCTAAGTGCTACCTATAGTAAAGTCCGCTTACTACTAGCCTAAGTAAGCTTCACCTAGCAGCACAGATAATCAGGCTAAGTACTGCCAATAGTCTGTTTCCTCACAATCGCAATTAGGCCTGGCTGCGACTCATAGGAAGAAAGCCGTTTGCCACGGATCTTACTAACAGTTTCGGAGACACTGCAGGAACATATATAGTCATGCGAAGTATTGCACAGCATCGTTTCCTACTACGCTCTCAAGGAAATCATGCTAAGTATCTCCGATATTCTACCTACCTACCTACCTACCTACCTACCTACCTACTTACCTACCTACCTACCACCTACATCCGTGCATGCGCGCATGGACACGCACATGCATGCTTGCCTAGCTGCATGCACTCCTGTATACACAATATGTCTGTAAAAACACATAAATACGTACGTACATACATACATACATACATACATACATACATACATACGTGCATACGTGCATACATGCATACACATGAACAAATATGGTCATGAAATCATTTCTTTATATACAAATACACATATCGCATCTTGTTTGTAGTTCAAACATGTGTATGTATGTGTATATATATATATACACACATACATGCCCATATACATATGCATATACATATACATATGCAAACACACATACATACGTTCATGTATTTATTCTAGTGGTTCTTTATGTGTTCATGTGTGTATATGTATGTAAGTAGATATACGAGTACATACATGTACATAGTTGTCGTACACATTCACACATGCTCTCTGCCACATCGCTGCTCCTTAGGAGGACCGCGCAAACAGCCGCCAGAGGTAGGAACAACTTGGCTCAGGGTTGTACAAAGAGAATGCTTCCCCCTGTACTTGCGCCAAAAGCGATTCGCAAGTGAGGAAGCAGTGCGATGATACCACCTTTGGTCTTTGAGAGTCTGCTTCAACAACCTTGCTGCCTTTCTCCCACCTCCTGGACTTCTCGGAGAAAATACCCGCGGGCGCTTAAAACGATTGGCACGACTGGTGCAGGCACAGACTATGCTTGCTGCGCCTGCCACAGCATGCTAAGCTGCCAGGCCTGCGTTTCGCGACGGGGAGCTTGAAGCTCACGCAGCTGAAGCGAGTCACAGAAGAAGGTACTCTATTGCAAACCTCCTTCTGTGCCATGAACCTTTGCATGGACAGAAAGGCCGAAAATCCGGAGCTGGACCGTCGTCCCCAAGGACTAGCCCAGTTAGTTGAGTTGGCATGTGTCAACGGTAGCAGCAGCTGTAGCCGCAGTCGTTGGTAACTAGAATGGCTGCAAGGGATTCCGAACATGTCAATATGACGAGCCACTGCCGGGGGGATGTTGAGTTGCACTGCTTGCGAGTCATCAGTCCGTTGGACACATGTAATTGCCGTCTCGCAAATCCACATATAAAACAAGATGCCGAGTTTTCTGCGCAGCGTGCTGTCTTCGCCATGCAGCTCCGAACTCACGGCTGGTAACGAACATACGTTTCCTTCGACGCGTACATTTGATCCACCTGCTTGATGAATGCCTTCTCCACGATCGGTCGCTTCAGCTTCCTGTGCGAAGAGTGAAGGTGCTGGATCACAATTCACCACTTATTCGACTCAATTCGTAAATTATTGCTGTTTTCATTATTGGTACTACTATTGTTATCAGTAGATATTTACGATGTACCAAGAAGTGATGCTCGATGGGCCTTTCACACAGGACAAGGCTCCGACAGAAGTTTGCAGCCGAGGTGCTTCGTGGGTGTTAGAAAGCCCTGCTCTTCGGAGAAGTTTGTTGGCAAAATCATGAACCTCCAGGGGTTGGGTTTAGGGTTTAGGGGTTTAGGGTTTAGGGTTCCACCTCCAGCTTGGATGGATCCAGTAGGTAAAATCATGTCATGACAAGTTGCTGTGCATCTCTGGGAATAAGGGCCTAAGGGAACAGAGGAGTCCAGGCAAGCAAGAGGGACTTGAGTAAATGATGGATGAAAAAGAAAGGGTGGACACTCGGAAACCCTAAATCCCTAAATCCCTAATCCCCTAAACCCCTAAACACTAAACCCTATAAATTTAAACCTTCAAACCCTAAATCCTAACCCATAAACCCTTAAACCCTAAGAACCGACTTGCAGCCCTTGGCCGGCAGTACTTCGTTGACTCAAATTGCTCTTGCAACTAACACGTCACAAGACACGGCCCAAGGGACCCCTAAGAGTCACATACACCAAATACACGACCTGCCCCTGAACCCGACACCCTAGAACCCAGAACCTTACCCTGTTTGAGTTTGAAAACCTCTTCCTGCCCTGAAAACCGATACTAACACTAGATTAAACTCAATCGTTGCTAACAATAACTAACAATGGCACCAGCATTCCTGGCTAACGAGGGTCCTGCTATTTAGGCTCACGGTTTCGGGTCTTGCGCATCAGCCAGGGAGCTTTTGGACCTTGAAGGCATTGTTGGGGCAGATCTTGCCTCGGTCGTCGTCTGCCACGCGCAGGCGGCTCAGAACCGGCTTAGTACGAGTTCCTTCTATGTAGGTATGTAAGGGTTCCAGGCATGATGAGCCTTAACCCAAAACCCTAAACCCTAAACCCTAAACCCTGTCATTCTGCAGTTCGGAAGTTACTGACATGAACCGGCGACTCAGTGCCCCAAACGACGACAGCACGGGACTTACTTCTGCTGGCGTCTCAACACTTCGGCAAAGCTAAACCACTGTAAATCTTCTGTGGGTCCAATGTCGACTCCTGAGACTGCAAAGCATATGGGTAGGTCTCTGAATTAGGGTCCTTTTACAGACCAAGGGCGCAGCATACTGGTTTTGTTCTTTATATAAGGACGCGGCAAAAGTTTCGGGATCTAAAAAAAGGGACCCTATATGGGTAGTTCTGACTGGGAGATCCTCCCCGGTGCTTGACGGGTCGCCGTTGTTGTTGGCGGAGGTGACCGCCTTCGTCACAGCCTCAATCCAGACCTCTGCATCGCTGCATCAGAAACCGCTCTTTTCTCATGACTAACCTGATCATTGCGACCATTACGATGAGAACTGCTGCTGACACGCACGAATAGTCATTGTTCTTGTTGGTATTGATCCTACTTTGGTGTGAGTACAATGATTCCACCAAGAGTCTAGCTGCCCCTTTCACTTCTACACACAAGCTCTCGACGTCACAAGCACCTTGACATCCACACGCCACAGGAAATCAGATCCAAGCGGGCTAGCTTGCGCATTTCTGGTGGCGCTGCCGGGCCCCTGCAATAACCCGCGATGAGTCAAAGGTCGATTCCGATCGCCTTCCTTCAAGCCTGACCGCCGACCGTCGACAACATGTGGGAAGCCTTGTCATCCAGCGCTGCCGAGATGGTGGTGACATCCGGGTTCCTCGGCGATCGAGAGAAAAGAGGGAGAGATAGAGAGACACATGCACATATGTAGATATGTAGATCTGAATATATGTGCATGTATACATACACATATGTATATACAGTATATATATATATATATATATATATATATGTCTGTATGCACATGTATATATATATATATAGGTAGTATAGAGATACTTGAAAAGATGCGGGTATGGTGTTTAGAAGCTCCTAGGAGAGTGCAGCCCGCTTTGTGTCAAACAGGGTCTTCTGCTACTTAGGCCCTTCTGTTGCACAGGCTCTTCTGCCAGGTAGGGTCTTCTGCTCCACAGGCTCTTCTGTGAGACAAGGGCTCATGGGAGTTATGATTTCAACATGGCCCGGCTTATTTTGGTTTGTACCTAGGCATGTGCGCAAATATGGACATCTTCTCGTTCACAGGATCGTCGTGACTGCAAGATGTCAGACAGCACAAGGATTTGAATCTTCAAGCGTTGGCATCGCTCTCAGAACATAACAACATGTGGGAGTTTCCGAAAATTAGGGGTACCTTACTTTGGGGTCCTTATAATAAGGATCCTATCATTTGGGGTATAGGAAACCCCCATGTCGACCTCCTTGCAGGTTGAGACTTCTGGCATCAGGCTTGGGACTGAGGAGGTTGGGACTCACGAGCAGAAGGGCTACATAGCTTAGCTTCCAGAGGCTGCATTCGGGGTCTGTAGTGTCAGTTTGTTGACAACATTGGGAACAATACTGGTGACAAATACAGATCATCATAAGGACAAGGCTCGCAATCGTCATGCAGGCACGCAAGCTAGGGGGTAGAATTCATTTGAGGTCGAACGGCCCGACTGAGGATCTCCATGATGCCAGGAGTGACAGGACAGAAGGCGTGACGGGACATACTGAAGGTAACCCTAAGGGTCCAAAGGACCCAATAATAAGGTACGTTGGTTGCGGATAGCAGTTATCTAATCTAGCTTAGTATTTGGGAGAGTATATGATTATTAGGTACTTGGACCCTTAGGGTAAGGTGTTAAGTCAGGACTTCAGGACTACTCGGTTCTGCGCGAAGCGACTGCATTGGTTTTTCTTTGCCCGGGAACATAACTTTTTGGAAGGCTGGAAATACGCACATCACAGCCTTATACTGAGGCCGAGAACAGTAGGCTCTGATGTGTAGATTACAGTGAGTCAGCTCAGGACCATTGATTGCATCTACTTGCGGTCCGCGTGGCACTCGCTTGGCCCCTGCATCCAGGGCGTCAGTGCCGGGAACTTCGCCGTTCGCACCCACTGCCTACAACTGCATCGTGCAAGACCAAGACATGCCAACCTACAACAGCTGACAAAGAAAATGTTGGAATGATGGACAGGGAATGACAGGAAGCAGGCCGCACATGCTGGTGCAAGTAAAAGTCGAATTAGCGCAATGTCATTGTTCGTCCGTGCGTCCGAGCAGTGTCGATGGACACATTTTGGGCCACCTCTGTTTTCTGGCGTGGTGGTGTTTGTCTGCGCCTGAACGATGCTTGTAGGCTTCCGACAGGCGATAGACACCCGGTGGGCCAGCACCATTCCAACCTCGAAAAGCCTTTGAGAAGCAGTACTCAGTAGCAGGTTTTGGCGGCACCGGCAGAGTACCATCATGAAAAGTGTCCTGATACTAATGCCGCCCATTCCCCATCATCATCATGGTCCTCTTTCTATACCTCTGCTTATGTTCAAGTGGAATACTACAGGGCCCTGAATTGGGTTTCGAGACATACTTTCCTATAACGAGCTCTGAGGGATACTGTTAGTACCTGTTTGGGCCCCTATACTACTCAGAAGCTCCCGAATTGAGACGAAGGGGGGCCTTGAGCGTGATGAGCGCGACGTTGTACTTTCGCTTGTCTCCGACCATCATGACCTGAAGCGCCCAAAAGGGATTAGGGTGCAGGGCTTAGGCCTAAAGCAATGTAGGGGCCTCAGAGGAATTAGATTAGGGCTTTGGGGAGCCTGTTATACGCCAGCTTTATTGGCTAATTAAATCCTATGGCCCTAAAAGACCTCAGGAACTTTGGGAGGTTATGGCTTGAGGATTTCGAGAGTAGACCTTCGATGTGATGTAAAGTGGAGCTGCATTGTCCACCCTCCTACCTGCAGCAGATGATGCTGCGTTGAAGCACGGACCGCCTGTACGTGGTGGTTTAGTTATCGACGGTCGGCGGTAGCTTCTTCAACATCATCGTGCCGAACGTTGGTAAGTTCCTATTATAGTGGACACACCCAAACATGTCGCCGCTTCTCATGCAGAAAGCCTCTCCATACAGCGTGCTCGGTGGTATATGGGAGAGCACCTAACCCCATCAAGCCCTCAATGCGACGCTTCGAGTCCTCAGCTATGGCTTCGAGGCCTCGTTGATGCCGTCGCACGATGCTTTGATGTGGTCCTCACTATGGGGATAACCAGGAAAAGTCGACACCAGAAACAAGCAATACAGAAGATCTTCCAGGGTTCGAAAGCAGATTCAAGCGGGGTCCTCGATAGGTACCGGTGCAATGTTCTCTCCGCCATCTCCAATGATCCTCAAGTTCACTGGTGGGATGAATGATTAATGTAGGAACCCGATTCAGAAACCCCTACTTCTGACTAGGGCTTCTACTATGGAGCGGGAATTCTTCACCAGGTTCGTAGACAAGCACTGTCCAGCCCATCGAGGCTGCAACCCTTTCTTGGGTGGGTTTGGGCTTGCTCTGCGCCGTGGCTCAACTCCTTGAAGCGCCCGGTGATCTTCAGCATGCCCGAGGCGGTCATCATGCCCTGGAGAGGAGGTTGAAAGGCTTCGGGCATAGCTCCTCCATGCTTCACTGTGGTAAAGACAGCTTCCTTGCCCAGTTCGCAAGCCCCAAAAATGTTACGCTCTCTGTAATTTTTAACTCTATTCACGGAGCACATATATCATATATCTGTTTAGACATCTATGCGCAATAACCGCCACAAGCCCATAAACACCAAGCGCATCGTCTTGAGGTCTAGAAGTCTTGGCCTTGTCTCCGGAGTGCATCCAACCCTCAGCGTCGATGGCTTCGGCCGTCTTCTTCTCGATCCTAATAGCGAAGGGGGGGTGGGTGGTTGTTGTTGTTGTTTCTGGCCGGGGTTGGGTTTGGAACCGTTTGGGGTTTTTCGTGTGAGGGTTAGTTTAGGGCTTCTCGTTTAGAGCTTGCCTTTGAAGCAACGCGCCTCGAGCCCACCCAGAGACCGCCCAAACATGAAGCTTTTCCATTTCAGGGCTTGCGGGGTTGAGGGTTTCGTCGAGGGCAGCGGGGGATGCTGTGGTCTTGTGTGGTGCACGCATCAAGCGAGCTGTCAATCAGAAACGGCTCCTTTCAGCAGTGGCATCTCGTCTCCGAAAGTCAGAGGCATGCATGGGTCGGTCTATGTGTGGTATGTAATTATGCACGTGTGTATGTAGGTATGTATGTATGTATGTATGTATGTATGTATGCATGCAGGTGCATGACTGACCCACTGACTGACTGACAGGTCGGTTGATAGATAGATAGACTGATAAATAGACAGGCACGGACCATTACATAGATAGAAGGGTCGGTAGGTAGGCAGGTAGGCTGATATGCAGGCAGGTAGGCAGGCAGGCAGGCAGGCAGGCAGGCAGGGAGGCAGGGAGGTGATTTAGATATCCTCATAGAAAGATAGGCAGAAAGAAAGAAAGACCGAGAGTCAGATAGCTAGACAGGTAGATCGCTAGAACAGATAGGAAAGATGACATAGACGGGATAGATAGGATATACAAGATAGAATGGTCTAGACTCCCGACAAGGTTAGAGAGGACTGAACTAAACTGGGTCATGATTAGGTTAGACAGACAGGAGGGTAGGCTCATTTCATTTTAATGGCCCTCAACATATGATCTACAAGCCCCAAGCCCTAATCCTGAGGCCATAACTTAAACCCCAAGTACCAACCCCCAAACCCTATAAACCTTACACCTCATAGACTCCCCCAAACCCTAAATGCTCAACCCTAAGCCCTATCCTCCCTAAACCCTAAACCCTAAACCCCAAAGCCTAAACCCTCAACCCTAAGCCCCATCATCCTGACAGCTTTCCGGAAGGCGAGAGGCGACTTCACGTGCTCCGGTCCGAAGTCCGGCTGGGCGAGGTAGCCCATCCTCAGGTTCTTTAGGATTTAGGGTTTAGGGTTGAGCTCTCTTCCATCCGCTAGTTATGCCTAGCTTCATAAGGATTCCGTAGGGTTTAGGGCTTAGGATTGTATGAAGACTTCGGGTTCAAGGATTTCCAGTATAGGGTTGGGGTTTAAGGTTGAGGGCGCGCAAGTATGTCAGGGCTTCTTTTCGAGAGCTTGACACCCTTCTGCAAGTCAATGGTGCAGCTTTGCAGATTTCCAGATGCCAAGCTCTTGGGCCCTTAACCTTGGCGTTTAGAGAGTCGTCCTTGTCTGACAGATCGGCTTTGATTGGTTGTTTTCTGAGCTTTAGGAACCACACTCTTCTAGCAATGCCCAGGCGTCATGATCTGCCGGCCGCGAAAGCAGATCTCTCCTCCAGAAGCATCCGATTTTGTGAAGTTGGCGTTCGGCTTCAACCCGATGGCCAATCTCGAACGCCCATGCAACTAGTATCGCGAACAAAACCTCTGAGCCTCAACACCTAAAAGGTGCTCGAGGGGCTCGTAAGGAGGGCGACAGACTACAACTTACCACCGCCCATTTGAATGTAGCTGCTATTCTGCGTGCAGAGTAGTCCGCACCCACCCCTTGCACATTCCGGACCTTGGTAGTCTTCGTGGTTGTCATCCAAACTCGGCGTCCTTGCGCGAATGAGCCGATCAGGGTAAACGGAACTTACATTCATCTTGCGACATGATGAGAAACTCTTTCCCCGGAGCCCCAAACCCTGACAGATGAAATGATTAATTGCCTGAGATACCAACAGCAACAGGAGATTTCACAGAAGCCCCGGAAGGACAGGAACATTGCCCCAAGATGTGCAACATCACATGCCCAGGATGCCTGGGGCACTCCGTCTTCTTGTTGATGTCCGTGGCATCCACCTGCACTGGGTGTTGACTAGGCCGACTCGGCATCAAACCGTGAGAGCTCCAGATTTGCGTGCCCTGGAGTCTCACAACAACTTCTGTAATATAGGGGCCTTAATGGGGTTTGGGTGGATATTAGACGATATGAGTAGCAATAATAAGGAACACCCAAAGTAGTATAGGTAATTATTGAGGCTCCTATATTATCCTCCATATGGTAAACCTGCAGCACCCCAAACGTTGAGGACCGTCCAGCGCATTCCGGATTCCGCCTGCAAAACCTCTGGCAAGCATCCAAAGACACTCAGACGGGCTCCGACCTTGAAGACTTTCACCTCGACTCCGTCAACTGGAAATCCTGGGAATGAGGCTGCTGGACTCTTCGATCAGGGTGCAGCACAAAAAGCTGGTTGCAAAGCCCTCGCGGCAAAATGACCGAGGAGATGCCTTTGTGCTATAGACAGGTGCGGGGTTGCTGTGCAAAACGGAAAGCAGCGACTCCAAAATGCACCCCCCCACGGTCAACGCTAAGCCCTGAAACATTGGACGCGTAGACTCTACCTGGCGAGATCGGGCGAGCGTTGGCTTATTTAGCACTTCCCGCTCAATCACTCCCGCCGTGTACCTCATGCATAAATCCGGAGGCCGGTGTTGGCTGCTCATTTCTTTGTTGATACGAGTGTAGGACGCTGTTCAGTTTATTTCATTTTCTTTTGACTCGTCGTCGCTAGCTGCTTGAACTGTCAGGATCTGCGGCGTTGTCATGCCTGCACGCGCACGCGCTCCTCTCGTGTGTTTTGGAGCACGAACCAAGGCGTAGAAAATCCTAACACAGACCCCGCTCCTGAATTTGAAACCTGACCGACTACACTCCTGATGGCACAGCCGAAGAACCGCAAGAGCCCCACAGGTGTGCAGACTGAGTCGAAATGGTAGCACCTCCACAGCTTTCCTTGGATAGTCATTGACTTCCAGACGACATGGTACTGTTGATGATAGTATATTAGTGCCATTTCATGATCGTATGCAGCCATGGAAACAGCTTTCCCGGTCACCGATGCAAAGAGCATCGAGCATGGCAAATCAAGCAAAGCTCTCGCATGTCGGCTAATATAGGGGCCTTAATAATTAGAACGGGGTTTTGGGGCCAATTATACTATAACTATAATAAGGAACCTCCAAAATAGTATTGGTAATTATTTAGGCCCCTATATTATTTTCCTTCAGCTGTGCGGCAGACATGCCGTACACTTCGTTGATGCTCAAGCCTGAGTCTGTAAATCTAAGCGAAGCCGGGGTTCAGATGCCGCAGCATTCATTGTCCAGGTGTTGGATAAAACAAGTTAACCCCTCGGTGCAGGATACTTCATATGATCTCAGGGGGAACTTGGGTGAGTGATGGAAAAACGCCATAAACTGTCGTGAAGGGCCTTGATCTTCCTTTCGCCAATCGCGTTGCGCACGAGATCATGAGGTGCTCGTCGCTACGGTTGCTCGTGGAGCGCTAGGGCAGCAGGACAATCAACCATTGTCAGGTCTCATCTAGCCCTGGGTGATTCCACTGCTGCAGCGTCATGCAGAGACCGAGAGCTGAGGGTGATGCTGCTCTGCGAATCTTTACGCTGATGATAAAGGATGTATATAGAGGAATACTATTCAGAAGTATTCAGGCTCCTACATGAATCAAGAGATCGGCACGAAACAACACGATGCAAAAATAACTGCCAATCCTGAACCCTAAACCCCTACGTGGACAACTGTCTAACTCCGATACCCGAGAGCTCAAGATGTGAGACCTACTTGAGGGTCCTGATAGCTAGAATTATTGTAGTGCTTTGCTGCATGTGAGAGGCACCACTTTTTGACTCGCCCCCATCTTCATGTCACATCCCAAGAAACACAGCGCCATAAAAACCATCACATGAAGCACACCAGGAGCAATGGCCCACTAAGGCCCCATGAATTGCGACACCAACCAAAACTCATTACATGAGTCTGACAAGCGCCACTTCCACAGCATTTACCCCTCATTGTGTCTATAGTTATCTGCTGCGAGTAAGGGCTTGGAGCCTGGTTCTTCCTTTTCAATCAGCGCCTCGGGAAGTCAGTTGACCACCTTCAAACGTTTCTTAGGCGGCTTGATGCGCAAAATCTCCACACTGGGAAAGGGCAGTGAAAGCTCCAAAGTCTTCGTGTGGAGAAACCATACCCCTATCCTGTTTTTGTCAGGATAGACTTCCGTAATCTTTCCTTCTTTGCCCACTAAGTCCTTGCGGGACTTGAGATGCATCACCCTCACCTGGCGCCCAAGCAAATGATTCCCCATCAATGTGTCGTCGAAATCATCTTCATCCTCCTCCATGTCTTCCTCCTCCTCATCTTCCATGTCTGTGTCCATCTCGCCCATGGAGTCGTCTCTCTCTGCTTCACGTCTGTTCAGCAAGCGACCGCTGCCCAACAGCTCTTCACGCGCCTGTGTATGGGTCAAGACTATGGAGTCCCTTACGTTCCTCCGAAGTGACGAATTCCGAGTGCTTATTTTAGAATCTTAAAAGCACCCAATTCAAGGGACCAAACCTTTAACCTGCCGCCGCCTGTTTGCCAAGGAGAGCGTTCTGACAGGAGAAGGAGAACTTGGATTGCTTGGCCTGGGTTGGAAGGTTCCATTCGGCTTGGCTTGCGTGGCCCTGCTTCAGGAACTTCAGAACTCGCAGGTCGTAGTTCGCATCCAAATTCAACTCCTTAACACGCGGAAGGTAGAGGGTCAACCTGTCGACACAGTCGCCACGCCGGAAGGTGAAGTCCGTGCAGCTAGGCAGGTAAAGGCTCGGAAGAGCCCCATCTGCCCAGTACTTATGCGCAAAGAACATCCGAATCCGAGGGCAATGCAACAAGGAGTTCGCAAAGCACTTCTCTGGCGGAGAATGGTTTTCCATGACAAGCTCCTCCAGGTTCTCGAGCTGAAGGCTCCATTTCAGGTCCTCGCACTGCGGGCCTATCAACGTCAGCTTTGAAAGCTTGGGCCAAGCTTTGAGTTCGAAGTTCTTTACTGACATGTGCTGCACGAAGAGCTCACTCACTTTCGGCAGGTACTTGCTGACCAGCTTGCAGAAGTTTGCGAAGTCAAAGGCGGGATCTCGATCATCCCAGCCGGGAACAGGATAGAGGTACATCTTCTTGATGCTTTGAGCATGCTGAAGCTTCTTCAGAACGGAGTTTTCGAGCTCCGCTGCGCTTCTTCCTGCCGCGCTGCTGAGCACGAACAAATGATCCTTATCTTCTATGAATAGACGCTTTTGCTTCTCGATCTGCGTCTCCACAGGGTTGGGGTAGATCATCGTTCCACCAGCCAACATCCGCGCGAGCTGTGTCGCCAATTTTGCGTCCGATGATTTGCTCACACTTGCTGGTCGCTTCATGGCTGTCAGGGTCACTCCTCCCCCCGAGTGACTGGCGATCTGGGTAATTACTTAGTTCCACAAAGCATATCTCTTGTGAAATATTGCAGGGCTGGAATAAAACTTAGGAGTCTAAAAGGCTTATAATGGCTCAGGCGATATCTCATCTTGCTCCACAACACTGATGATCAGGGTTGACAGTGGGGAGCCCGTATCCTTAAGGCAAATGCTAAGCTAGGCAGCATGTGGGTAGTTCTCTAAATTAGGGTCAGCTGCGACTTCAAGCTTCGGATACTGCGGCTCGACTTCGAAATCACACAGCTTACACAGGAGCATGAACCCTCCCCCCCNNCCCCCCCCCCCCCCCCCCCCCGACAAAAAGAGCCGGAATCGGCTTCGGGTCCCGGCCATTAGAGCTTCAGCCAAAGAGCCCAAGGATCCGAAATACTCCAAGGTGTCCACACGGATGGGGGCAGCTCCTGGGAGAAGGGCTCTCTTGACCCAAAAGGCCAGGCATAAGTCCTGGCAGTCTTATCTTCAGCTCCCTTGCCGGCTTAGGACCTTAAAAATTTCAGGCCTGAGATCTGCGGCTCGAAGGCCTCAAGGGTCCAAACTCCGGGTAAACCCTGAACCGTCATCTTCACAGCCGGAGCAAGCTATGGGACCCACATGTGTCCTGTAGCTGCGTACTTCAGCTGGTCCATACCCAAGGCGCCCTGCTCAACTGACTGTCCGTTGGAGAAGCTCAATCTTGAACCCTGCAACCACTGCACCCATGAACATTTAAGTTCTGCTGTGACTGGTACATAGTCTTGTCCTGCTGTGCAGAGAATCCTATACATGTGCCCAGCAAGCTAAAGAGGGCTAGGTTGTTGCAGTGCATTCGGGATGGTCCTGCCTCTGACCAGAGAGAGGCAGGCCTCTGGTATACCATGCGCAACGAAGAACTCTTGAAGCTAGACCCCCGAATCAAGCAGGTGCTCTTGGCATGCCTTCACTTTGCTCAGAATCAAGGTGTCTGCCAAGGTGAAGCCAACCGGTGTGTAACCATCACCTGCTTCAGAGTCTCTATGCTGGGGTTCAAGTCCGCAGAAGTGGATATTCCACGCCGCATCTAGATGTCGGAATACCAACACAGTCTGCGTGCAAAGGCTGATCGAGTCTACGAACCGCTATCAAGCTTCTATGCAAAAGATTCTCCTCACGAACATACGAAGCCCCTTGCATGCTCCCGCAGCAACACTCAACTTGCACTCAGCAGTGACAGAACTGAAACCTGTCAGAGGCAGGGCCATAGCCGCAGCAGTTACCCCTCATGGAAGATTCTATCAATCCGGAGCGCGAAAGACGACAAAGTTACATCCCAACCACGGTATGCAGGACCTCCCAAGAGAGAGCTCTTGGCTTGCGTGAGGCCCAGGTCTTTCGCCCAACTTGCAATGGACTGCTTCAAGCCTGCCAGACATGATTTTAGCAGTGGCCAAGCATTTACAGGCCCAGGCATCTTGACGTGATCGCCTCTCCGCTGTCACGTTCGACTTGGTCACTTCGGCTTCTGATTCCAATTGCAATCATGCAAGAACATCCTTTCATTCGCCTATCTCAGCAATGGCAACTACATCCTGGTTCTACGAACTTTCCTCTAAGCCAGCCCAGAGCATCTCAGCTGGTGCTTTTATTCGAAGGATCGCCTGCAGGGACGGCACATATTTCAGTGTCAAACGTCCTCGCAAGCGAGGAAAGACGGCGAGCTGTCCGGAGCCAGCGAACTTCAGGTTACGAGAACCCAAACTTTCTCTCGAAACCATGGAAACGAAACTACCAGCAAAATGCGATTCGACTCCAATTCCCTATCCGAGCCTGAGTTTGCAGCGCCAATGGCACGCAGCTTGTCTGCGATCCTTGCAAGCAGAACGAACGCAACTCAGCACAGGCCAGCCGTGTCTTCTCTCTCGCTTCCTGGTGCCGAAGACATCGAAGTTTAGGCTCCAGCCAGGCTGCCCGGTCAAATGAACCCATGCGGAGCTCTTTCCATTAAAGAGTTGGAGATAGAAAACCCTCAATCTGAAAAATGTACTTTTCTTAATTCGTTGATTCTTTATATGTACTGGGCTCTGTGCCCAGCGCCCTCTTGAAGCCTTTGAAGCTTGGACCCTCGCCTAACACCCCAAACCCTGAAGCACCCACCCATTCCGTCTCACTAGAATCACTGGAAACGATCGGAAGTGGACCAGAGCTGCTTTTTGCATACTCATATGCTCCAAGTGTGGCAAGGGTTATGGAGGAGAGGCTGTACGAGTGTTGTCATACTGCGAAGCAAGAACGACAATGTGGTTCACAACAGTCGGTGAGACATGGCAAACATAGCCCGAGTACAATAAAGCAACACATCGCGGCGATAGCGGCTAGCTATCTGCACCATAACAAACAGTAAACATGCGCATGACACATAGCATGAAATATTAAGGTCACAGCAAGAAACACACCAGACGACCATTGTTCATCCCACACATTTTTCAGATGTAAAGCAACACCCTCAACCCTAAACCCCATGGCCCAGACTCTGCAATCCCTAAACCCAACGCTCTACACGCTGAGAGGCAAAGTCCCTAAACCCCAAGCCCTAAACCCTAAACCCAAAGTTACTGAACCCTAAACCCTAAACCCTAAGCCCTAAACCCTAAGCCCTAAGCCCTAAACCCTAAACCCCAAGCCCAAAACCCTAAGCCCCAGGCCCTAA